CTATTAAGAATTAACATTGATGGAACTTGCAAAGACATTACTAATTAGCTACATGGGCAATAATGTTAATGATTTAGCAAAGGATAACCCAGTTAAGCCATATTTCACAAGCAGAACTTACTTTTCAACGATACTGTACCATTAGTGTTAAATATCATAGTAAGAGTATTCTACACTTTTGTGTAGCACAGTTCTATAATTCCTTGATTAAATTTATACATATACATATATGTTTTCACAAATTAGTGTTTTAACTGTACAGTGGTTTCTATTCTTACTATAGGAGATTTGCAAAGTTTTTAATATTTTGTCATTGCTTTGTTTGACAAGTTTTTTTTTTTATAATATTTAAGTGTAGGATGGAAATAAATGGTATAAAATACTGACACAATGGAATTATAAACACATAAGCAGTAAAATATGATCCTTTATTGACAACGTTTCACCCACACAGTGGGCTTCATCAAGTCACAATGAAATATATTTTTTTCGTTAGGTTCAGAATAATTTTTGCGAAATTATTGGAGCCTGACCCATGGCCGGACTCAGAGTAGATAAAATCTCAAAACTTTTCAAAGGTATATCAAAGGTATAAGGGATGCACAAATTTTCACTCGCCTTATTCGGCAAGAAGAGCATTGCTGTTTAAGCCAAAATCGCAAGTTTTACCTGTTCAGCACGACAGGCACCTAGAGTATATGCTTGTACATGTATGTGTAGTGTGGCCTAAGTGTAAGTAGAAGTAGCAAGACGTACCTGAAATTTTGCATGTTTGAGACAAAAAAGGACACCAGCAATCCTACCATCATGTAAAACAATTACAGGCTTTCGTTTTACACTCACTTGGCAGGACGGTAGTACCTCCCTGGGCGTTTGCTGTCTACCAACCTATTACCTAGATATATATAGGTATATATATATATATATATATATACCCTAGTAGCATATAATGCTTGCCTATTTGTTTATTCATAGATTGAGCTGCAATTTTCAACATCTACCTTTAACCCTTAAACTGTCCAAATGTAGATCCACGTTTTTTCAACATTTGAAAGTATGTAAAAAATGTAGAGCGTCTTTTTCTTTTTTACATTTGAAAACGTGTAAAAAAACTTAGATATTCATTTTTTTTTTTGTTATGTATTTAAAAATATGTAAAAAAAAAATTAGATCTACTTTTGGAGCACTATGCATGTGAACGTAGATCTGTTTGGACAGTTTAACCCCTTCAGGGTCCAAGGCCCAAATCTGAAGTGGTGCCCCAGTGTCCAAGAATTTTCAAAAAAAAAATTTGTTATTTTTTCTTGTGAAATGGTAGAGAATCTTTTTGTGAAGGTAATAAAACAAAAAGTACGAAATTTGATGGAAAATTGACGAAATTATGCTCGCGAATTTTGATGTCAGCAATATTTACGAATCGGCGATTTTGCCGACTTTGACTCCCGTTTTAGGCCAATTACATTATTCCAGTCAACCAAATTCTTAGCTATTTCACTAGTATTACTTCTATTCTATCGATTGAGCACAAGAAATCGCCAAGTCAACTGTTTCAACTACAAATTAACCCTTTGACTGTTGCAACCCCCAATCCTGAGGTGTCTCCTGGTGTCGCAAAATTTAAAAAAAAAAAAAATTATTTTTTCTTATGAAATGATAGAGAATCTTTTCCCGATTGTAATGACACCAAAAAAACGAAATTTGATGGAAAACTGACGGAATTATGCTCTCGCGAAGTTAGCGACCTCGGCGCTGTTTACAAATCGGCGATTTCGCCCACTTTGAGCCCTATTTTCGGCTAATTCCATTGTTCCAGTCGCCCAAACTCATAGCTATTTCTTTAGAACTTCATTTTTTCTATCGATTGAATACAAGAAACTGCCCATTTACTGATTTCAACTACCTAATAATGTGGTCAGAAATTTGCAATTTGGCCAATTTCACAAAATCTAAAAAATATGACAATTTCAAAATAAGGTCCAGAATGAACAATGCAGACATTCCTGGCTCTAAAATAACGTTTTCTTTGTTCATCAGTCACGTCTCCAGGCCCTTCTGATATTACTCTTGCTTTCTTTTTTGAATTTTTATTCAAACAAAAAATATTACTTACTATTATGCAGACTACTGCAATGCTGTAATAACTGTATAAATAACATCAACCCATTCATGACTGCATATTAGAATGGCTAGTTGGACATTTATTGGACAATGGCATCATTTGTTTACTTTTGAACATTGGCAAAAATCAAACATTTCCCCTACTTTGAGCTCCATTTCTAGGTTCTTTTTATAGTAAAATCAATCAAAATCACCTCTATTTCTGTAATATGTTTTCCATTCTATCAAATGAGACCAAGAAAACGAGAATACAACCATAAATACTATACGAAAATAGACCACAAAGTCTGCATTTTAATTAAAAAAAACGGTCGGAGTTTTTTTTTTCTCATTATGCACTGCGTGCTCCAGGATTTTTTTTATATGGTGCACTGACCACACAGACCCATTCTCTCACATGTGGGCCTACCAGCTTTCTCCTGCTTGATTTGAAGCCGCTAGAATTTATGAGTATATATACGTCAAACACGGCACCTCGTAAAACGTATATATACGGCCGCGACAGTCAAAGGGTTAAAGTGATCAGAAATTGTTAATTTGGCCAATTTTACACAAAGTTCAAAATATTCCAATTTCAAAATAAGGTCCAGAATAAACAATGTAGGTATTCCTGGAACTAAACTAACATTTCTTCTGTTCATTAGTTAAGTTTTGAGGCTTTACAAATAAATTCCATTTTGATTTTTTATTCACATAATGAATTTTTATTCACACCAAAAAATAGAAGATTTACTGTTATGCAATACTGTAATAATTGTATAAATATCATCACCATATTTGTGAATGCATATTAGACCCACCAGCTGGCGTGTATTAGACATGTGAGGTCGTTTGTTTACTCTTGAATATCGGCAAAAATTTAACATTTCTGCTACTTTGAGCTCAGTTTCAAGCCATTTCCAGTGCTAAAACCAATCAAAATCATCTTTATTTCTGTAATATGTCTTCCATTCTATCAAATGAGACCAAGAAATCGCAAATACAGTGGACCCCCGGTTAACAATATTTTTTCACTCCAGAAGTATGTTCAGGTGCCAGTACTGACCGAATTTGTTCCCATAAGAAATATTGTGAAGTAGATTAGTCCATTTCAGACCCCCAAACATACACATACAAACGCACTTACATAAATACACTTACATAATTGGTCGCATTCGGAGGTAATCGTTATGCGGGGGTCCACTGTACAACTATAAAAAACATACGAAAAAACACTGCAAAGTCGCTGTTTTAATCGAAAAATCATGATTTCAGTTTTTTTCTCTCATTATACACAGCATGCTGCAGGATCTGTTTTATGTGGTGCACACATACCACATAGATGTATTCTCTCATATCTAGGCCCAAATGTACCACTCACAGTTTTCAGAGTGAGCTGAGCTCATGACGTAGATCTACGGTTTGGACCCTGAACGTAAAGCCGTAGATCTACGGGACGGACCCTCAAAGGGTTAAGGGTTAAATAATCAGGTTTTGATATGATGACCTCCTCCTGTATAAGGTCAAATGGAAGCATACTATTTGATATTATACTCAACAGTTTGCAGTGGCAGTTTTAATGCATCAATACAGGCTTGAATAATAATTTCTGGGGTTAAGGTAATAAGTTGGTAAACAGCAACCATCCATTGAGGTACAAGCATTGCTGTATGTATGTGAAATAGAAGTCTGTTAAAATTTTGCACTCTGGTAGAACTGCTGGTATTTTCTTTGTCTTGTGAATATGTAAAAATTACAAATCAACTTTAATATTTATGGGTTAATGAAGGGTGAGGTCAGCCATAGAATTGATGAAGGAAAAAAGGCAAGTGGTGCAGGTAAAGAAGGAATGTATGAGAGTATAGTGGTACCAGCACACTTGTGTGAAGCATGGGTTGTAAATGCTGCAGCAAGGAGGAGGCTGGAGGCAGTGCAGATGTCATGTCTAAGGGCAATGTATGGTGTAAATATTATGCAGAGAATTCATAGTGTGGAAATTAAGAGGTGTGAATATATTAAGAGTATTATTCAGAGGACTGAAGATGAGTTGTTGAGGTGGTTTGGTCATTTAGAGAGGATGGAGCAAAATAGGATGACTTGGAGGGTGTATAAATTTGTAGTGGAGGGAAGGAAGGGTAGGGGTCATCCTAGGAAAGGATGGAGGGAGGGGGTATAAGAGGTTGTGTACAAGGGGCTTGGACATGCAGCAGGCATGTGTGAGCTTGTTTAGATAGGAGTGAATGGAGATGAATGGTTTTTGGAGACCTGACAAGCTGTTGGAGTGTCAGCAGGGTAATATTTTTAAGGGATTCAGGGAAACCAGTTACCAAGGCTTGAGTCCTGGAGATGAGAAGTACAATGCCTGCACTTTCAGGGAGGGTTTGGGATATTGGCTGTTTGGAGTGACGTCTGAATTGCTATATCTAAGTGCCTCTGCAAAGACAGTGAGTGTGAATGATGGTGGAATTTTTTTTTTTTTTTGTCACCCTGCCTCTGTGGGAAACAGCCAAAGTGTTAACAAAAAAATACACATATATACACACACACATACCTACGTATATACTCTACTTTTCTGTTTCCTACTGTAGTTCATATTCCTGTAATGTTTCTTTACCAGTTTAGGAGCACCAGGCTGCATGTAATAGTTTTGCAATGTTATGCACTATACCCATCCTGTTTAAGGATTAGAGATACATAATGGCTTCAGGAACTGGGTCTTAACATTTCTTTGGCTATGGAAACTAGTGCTAACGTGGTACTGTATTTTATTACAATATAAAGTTGGAGAGTGCAGTAATCAGATCTTTACAGGAAATGGACTTCATATTTTTAATAGCATAACAAAACATTTTAAAGTTAATACTGACTTTTATGTTATCAGAATTGTTCTTTTATTTTTCCAGATCTTGTTGCGAAAGATTCAAGAGGCCAAGCCTTCTCGGGATGTAACTGCATCTCGCTCGCCCCGTCAGAGGACATCACATGGCCTCCGTCCAACATCTAGCCTTCCTACCACAACTGGGTCTTGTGGTGCCTCAGCCCGTACAGCACCAGGTCATGTCTCCACACCCACTCCTCGCAAAGAGACAGCTCTGTGAGGTTGTTGGTAATTGAAGAGGGTTTACTTGTGTGTGGCACACAGATTGTGCTTTACCAACCTTTGCTCTCTGACACTGGGTTTTAATTGCCTATCATCCTGAATATTGATCATCCCTTGCATTGCTGATTTCAGCTTATGTGGATGCACACAGCTGTCTTGATCCAGTCTTTTTACTTGAAAGTGTCCAATTCATACTACTATGGGTACCATGAAGGTGTCCAGTCACATTAATTTCCATGCTCTTAAGGTTGTTAGAAATACTTTCTTGTGAGGGCATTGGAACTATACCCTTTAGACATACAACTGTACTTTTGTTTTCAGTGTTGGCACTAATGTTTATAAAGAGGAATAATTGCACAGATTGTGCTGTTGCTCCCTGTTCATAAAAAAAAATTTCTTACCAAGATAATCAAACAATGGTAGGTCAGAAATGTTTCCTATTCAGAAATGTTGTAATGTTTAGATGTGTGATTTGATATTGAAAGTTACTTTACAAAGATTACACCATCTGAGAAATTGCTAGATCATGTGTGTATATATATATATTATATATATAATATATATATATTATATATATATTATATATATATATTATATATGACAAAAATTCCTGCTGTAGAAATTGTCTAAAAGTGCTATAATGGTGTACTTTACATATGCAGTTAATGCATTAGCCATTTTTGGTAGGTGAAATGGTGTGCTGTTGTTAGTGAGTACATTCATAATATGCTAATTTAACATTTAACTTTGTATTGAATAATTTTCTATAAAGGATTTTGTTAATGTGTAACATCATATACATGTACCTTTGTTAATTTATACTTCCTCATTGGGTATATTTGATGAAGTAACAATCACTCTTCACACATTGTTTTTTAGTGCAAGCAAATGGTGGCTGCTTTCACTTCCTAGCCAGATAAAAATGCAATATACAGGTACTACAGGAAATTTTCAAAGCATTATTACATCTTGGGCACAAAGTGTGAAGATGGCCAGCTGTCAAAGCATTTGAGGAAAATTCTGCACGTCACCTAGCTTTTTTGAGTATGGAAAAGAAAGTGACATAGATAGTGCCAGTTATGTCGCATGTATGATTGAACGCTCAACGTACTCCTCCTTTGCATACAAGTATAGATGGAATGGCATGCTTTTTTTTTTTTTTTTTTTTTTTTTTTTTTTTTTTTTTTTTTTTTTTTTTTTTTTTTTTTTTTTTTTTTTTTTTTTTTTTTAGAAACAAACAATTTAAGGATACTGGGAGTACCCCCACTACCTCTTTCACCTGACAAGTGTGTGAAGTTTAATTCATAAACTGTTGGCCCATTTTCATAATGAATGGTACAACCATTTATCTTAAACCTTGTTTCATTGTATTGCTGCTGATACATTCCACACATAGTTAATTAATATCTTGGGGATATAGTGTATTTAAAGTGTCTCATTTAAAAACAGCCCTGGCACTTAGAAATTTGACCAACGAATAGAGGACCATCGTGTGGTGGGTGTGAAGTTTTATTCCTAAGTAAGCATGATAGTGGCATCAAGAGTACCAGCTTATTGTGTGGATAACACACATTTAGTGTGTTCCAAATTATGTTGTTGGTGTTGTACATAGAATATTAAGGACAGTACTTGATGGAATCATTGTTGAATCGAGTTTGAGCATTATATTGTTAATCCCATAAGTTAAATTATATCCATAAGATTCTGAAATTGATAAAATTAAGTGATTTGCAGTGCAATATTAATTTGCCATTTTCAAAATGTGTGGAAGTAGTTAGTCATTCAGTATACTTGAAATTGCATACCTTCCATATATTAAATGCAAGCTGTATGGGTTATATTGGAAATAATGCTCAAATATAGTTCACTTTTAACCATCACAAAACTGCTCATCTCTTGTGCTGCTTTTATCCCTCCCTATATTGATTACCACACCATTCTCCCACTTTGCCCCATTCATTTTTATGATTTTAAGAAGCATTGAGGGGTTTGGTCCTATGGTTTCCATGTGGGAGTTAGTATGTGGCATTTTTAGAAGATGAGAATTATAAATACATAGTCCCTGCTCGAATTTTCACAAGATCATTAGTAATGTGACAGGAGGATTATCAGCAAGCTATAAATGAAAATCATCATGCTGCCTGTCTTAACAAAGCCTTTAACATATCTTTTTAATGAAAATGTTTCATTTGTCACTGTTCTCTAAAGAAGTTAAATTTTTTTATATCTAGTATTCCATTTGCATCTTATGTAAAAATGGTAAATAACTGTTAAAAAATTAAACACCTTTGTCATTATTGTTAGACAAATCATTATTCTTCATAATGGAGTAAATGTTTTGGAGTAGGTATGAAAAGTTTTGAGTCATTTGCTAAATTAAGGTTGAAAAAACTAAACTTAGAGTGCAGGTATGTTTTATAGTGATTTACATTCATGACAGTATTCACATGACACATTCACCTCCCAGGTCATGTAAAAGCACAAAGGTAAAGAATATAACTGTTGTGATCATGAAGTACATGGCATCTATACTTAATGTTCCAAGAGCCACCACAACAGTATGAACCAGTAACGGGTATTGAAGTTTGTTCTTGTATATATTTCTAGCCAGCTATTTCAGATTGAATCATACTGTGTTGCTAAGGGTGTTTATTGTATGGAAGGATGACATAAATTCATTTATATATACATTTAAAAATATATACTGCCTTGTTAATGTGACAGGAATGGAAAGTCCTCTTATCTTGGTCTGGTAATGTAACTCTTGTACCTTTGCATTATAAAGGAAGACAATGCTATGTAATACCAGTCTCAAGTGCATAATTCCTTGCCCTGTCACAGAAGTTTCACCCTTAATAATCTAGTCAGATGATCTTATTCTGTGAACCTGGCACATCCATGCCCAGAGTTCTTGAACAGCATTTGAGTTTTTAAACTTGATTTAGTAAATATTATCTTGATTGTTCTCTGGTACAAAGGAAGTATAATTTATATTTTAAAAGTACTACCGATCTCAAGTGCTGGGTAAGTTTGGGCCCAGGGTGTCCATCATGCTTCCAAGTGTTAATAAGATTATGTATTGATCTCTTAATTACTTTTCCCAATCCATACTGCAGCTCATAATTTAATACAGCAGTCCTAGAGCTATATGTATATTAAGTGCCATAATACAGAGAATGGCACTTTAGTATGGAGGGACCATTATGAAAACTCATTTATTTCATATTCCACATAAAAACTTGCCATTTTGTAAAGGCAATGCTTTCAATAATTTATATGTACAGTTTTTTATATTATTTTATTGTCTTCAAAGCAATAATATGTAGCAGTTGCCATTCGTAAAGTTCGTGTAAATTGTGACTTGTTGTGGATAAGTTCACTACTGAATCAAACTGTTGGGTTTCTTAACAATTTAATGTATAGTATTTACAAATTCTCTTGTTGCACGTGAATAATTGGACCCAAAACAACCTGTACTGTTGGATAATTTTTATCCTTAAATTCTTGGGTCATTTTTGAGTTGTAGAACACATTTGTATTTATTTTATGAACTTTCTTAAACAAGCATTGTGAGCTGCTTGGTTTTGAAGTTCACTCGTACATTGTATGGAATAAGAATTGACCATTTAAACTGGAGACAATTTTCATGCCCGCTTAGAATATAATGTAAATATTTTTTTATACTTGTCTTTCATTGTCTGTGAAAACTTTTTTGAACAATAAAAGTATTGTTGAAAAATTCTTTTATTTACAATTTATATTTACACTATGTACATTAACAAACATTTCATTCAATTAATAAACAAATTCAAGTGTTTAAAACTGTCACTTTTTTTTTTCTGTGGCATTGTGAAATCTACTCTTATGATGATGACTTCCAGTGAATTTATTATTATAAATAAAAAAAAATGCTAAGCCACAAGGGCTATACAGCACTTCCAGTGAATAAAAGTGCATACCCCTCTTCATCAGAAGCCTGCACTTGAGAGAGGAACCTTATGATTTGGTCAGTCCTGGACTGTTCTCTAGGCACAACTCGGGTGAGAAAAGTAGAAGCCAAAAGACCATGTGGTAGGAGACTGGGTAAGAAGCAATTGGTAAATAGTAGTAGTGAAGTAGGGTTAGCAGTAGATATAATAGTACAGAATGTAGTACAAAAAGTGTAGAAGAGGAGCACTGCAGTTCTATTGGCCCACACCAGGCAAGACTAGTGATAGTGAATTATATTTCAAGGTGGTGGAAATTGAAATATATCAACATTAACACCTGTCTTCCAGAGGTCAGAAAAGAACTATAGTAGGCCAACTGGCCTAAACCAGGAAATATAAGGAAACAAGAAATAGATGACAGGGAAGACAAAAAAGATGCAGAAGACAGGCTAAGAGGAAAGGAGGGGTGGTGGCAAAGGTCAGGTCAAGTCACGAGTGTTCTGAAGATAGCATTTTACAGTATATATACCGAGAAAGGCAGGCATCTACATTATTATAATCAAAAAGAAGTGCTAAGCCACAAGGGCTATACAGCACAGGCATCTACAGAAGCAAAGTCAGGACTATGATTCATGTTAGGAAAGTTGTGTATAAGGGATGACCTGATGATTATTATCATGGGGAAGCACTAAACCCATAGAGTATAGTGCTTGGGGGTGGGGAATGGAAGGTATTCAGGCTTAATTCAGGGAACTGGAGCACAGATCCAATTCCCTAGATCAAGAACCCCTCACCAGCATCAAGGAACCTCCCTTGAGGGGTAGAGAACAGTATTGTAAGATTTAATTTAAGAGCTTAAACACCCTCTATCAAACTTGATTTTTGTCAAGCTAATACCTTTTGCAGTAATCATGTTTATACTAGTACTGCCACTGATGCTCCAGTATCTACTCCATTTCCTTCTCTTGTTCTCTCCAATACTTTGTGAAACTAGCCACTCCTTTTATGATATGACTTAGAGGAGGACCAGTTAATACTTGTGCTCTAAAACTACACCTTTTTCTAACCTTCAAGGATACTGTTTTGCTGAGTCAGTCCTTATGCACAACTTTTACAGCATGAATCTTAATCCTGACTGCTTCTGCAGATTCTTGCCTTTTTTAACATACTGTAAAATGCTCTAACCTTCAGAATACTTGTGACTACCTGGCTTTTGCCACTTCCTCTACTTTTCTCTTGACATATCTTCTAACTTTCCTCTTTTCTGCTTCCATGTATTTCCTAGCTTGGACTAGTGGCCTACTGCAGTTCTTCCCTGCTCTTCTGGATATGGATGTTAGTATGGAGATATTTCAATTCCCCTCTATAGGTGAAGATAAATAAGGGTTTCTCAAAGGAAGCAGACTCTGAAAAATGAAAAGCAAACACTGGCTAGAGAATTAGGAAATGCTGAGATCAAATTAAATACATCATACAGAGTACAGGAGAGAGAGAAATAAATGTAATTCACTATCACTAATCCTGCCTGACAAAATCCGGTAGAGCTCCTTCAGTAATCCTGTTCTTATACACTAACTTCTGCTACTGCTACTACTACCTTCTTCCCTTACCACCTACTGAATAATCTCTTGACCTTCACTACTTTTCTCACCCCATTTGTGATTTGACAATGGTCCAGGACAGACATTGTAATAAGGCTTCTCTTTCAAGTGCAACTTCCAGCCATGGTACTATGATTTTTATTCTTGAACCCTCTGTCATACAAGCAACTCTATAATGGGGGGGGGGGGGGTTACAAGGTGATTTTAATAAGTTATAGATTGGCATATTCTACGACATTTTTTTATTTTTATTTTTTATGACTTTCATTGTAACTTTCAGTTTTTTGTCATGACTGAATGTGACTAAACGGTCAATATTACTACTTACGAGCAACTGCAAACTAACCTTTCCTAGGCCTAGTACAACAATGCTTTATATCTCAACTTTTCATTTCCCTTGGGAAGGAGCTAGGGCTTTTTACTTGTTTACTTATGTAGGATGAAGTGCTTCCCTACTGGATAGAGACTTAACAATTTCAAGTGCTCCTGAAAGGCTCTAATTAGGCCTAAACAAGGCACCACTAATATAGTGTTACTTCCTCAATAAATAGCAATTTTATGAATAATGATGTTCGCTGTAATTGGAAGAAGCACTTTATATTTGTCCACAGATCCTGAATGGTTTGACTAATATTAACACCAGTTGCTATATATGAGAGAAGTACTGAAACCATAGGAGGGGTCATTCAGTGAATAGGGGACAATTAAGTTTGATTCAGAGAAGATAGGTTCACTTCCTTGGATAAAGAGCTCCTCTACAGCATCAAGGCACTGTGCTTCACTAAGGGGTATGATTTATACTGTCCTGAGAACCAAAATGTTAATTTCTTGGTCTTGCCAAACACTTGAGAAAGACACTAATATGGGAAAAAAAAACAGAACCTAAAAAGTGTGCTACACCCATCCTCCCTCTGGTCTGCCACTTTTCAAAATATGAAAAAAAATCTTTACCAAAGAGAATTAAAAGCAACGTGAGGTATAAATTCCATTAAATCAAAATACTGTACACTAAATTTAGATTACTTAGCTGCTAAAGTACAGTTGCTCTTTCTACCATCATTGCCTAAATCTCTCAGGAATGTTTTATTTACATTAAAGAAAAATTTAATAACTAAAGTTATGATTCCTTGTCTTCCTTCAGTTGATCACTTCCTGAAAGAGAAAATTTTCAAATTTTATTCATGTATTGTACATGTATTTATTTTAACAAGTTGGCACCAAACCCATCTGGTGGTCATACAGCTCTTGAATTCAGACAAATGATGAAATACTGTACCTTCCCAATTTAAACTAATGAAAATACTGACATCAAAATTCAGAATGGCCATCCATATTGCAACACCCTCACCCTTCCTCCTTCACAATGCAAAGTACTGTGCTGCCCACTTTTACGTCATTACTGGACACTGTCCAAATTGGTTTACAAAATATTTTTTAAATTAAGTATTATTAAATAATCATTAGACCAACTTGTCCCTCTTCACCAAACTTTTCCAAAAATATCATACCTAACTACTTAAAATCACCTAGTTTTTAAACGCAGTACACAGATACTAATGCTAGGAATCTCTCCTTTCTTTCATAAGCACTTTTAGAAGCACTGAAGATGATCATGAAAATGGAACATTAGTCATGGACAAAACAAAATGCACTGTATTCACAAAGAACCTACAAATACAATATAGAATATGCATTAAAAGTGTGGATATGGTATAGCAGGGAGCTGAAGGAGCAATTGAAAACACTGCAGGGAGCTGAACCTCCTAAAGGTGTTGGACTGCAATACATTGCAATCCTTGCTGTGGCACACAGTCTGTGAAGTCATGAGGAAGGAAATGAGTGTTGACCTTAAAAAATATTTGAGTAAAATTCCTGTAACTAGAACAGGTCCACACTCAAAACAGTTGTAACACCTAGGAATTGCTCATAAATGGAAGTCTAGGGGTTTGTATCCCTATTCTAATTGCAAGTGTGTATGTGATCCTAGGCATAATCCATAAGCTTATGTATTGAAAAATTATGTATCAAGCCTAGAACAAATAAGTTGCAGAGGGCTGCAGGGAATAGGTCTGTACTGTATGTGAAAAATGCATTAATTTACACAGAAATGCTAAAATAATCAAATGATTTTGCAGAAGTACTCAGAATAAAAGTACAGAACATGCACCTGGCAATTATTCTCAAAGAAAATTCCATTGACAACAGCAGAGGAATTAATTGAACAAATAAGGAATACATGCACTGATTGCTGCTTAGGAAGTTTACAAAATCCTATACTACCAAACATTACCATCTTAGGAGATTTCAACCTCCCATATCTAAATTGGAGAGTGATTAACAGCATTTTACCAGAAATAGCATCTGGGAGTACAATACTCTAGTCCAACAGGTCAGGTTGTCTGGTGGTTACAGGAGAACGATGATCTACTACATATTCTAGAGGCTCAGACCTGCCAGAAGACTGAGAAAATGAAGTATCACTCATCTCAAGATAAGAAGTCAGAGATATCAACCAGTTCTGGTGGTTCAGCTGTCAGGCTGCCTCTACATAATGGGGAAAAAATGGAGGTGAAGAAAGTGAATTGAGCGAAAAAGTGAGATACAGTTTTTACTGTGGGTGTTCACAGGGGAAAATGGATGTGTGATAATGTGTTTTCACCCCTTATTCATTATTTGCTACCTTACTGTTTCCCATTCTTGCATTCATATTACCCGACAAATTGACCTCTCCTTCTCTATCAAAGATTCTAATGCTACAACCTGTTGCTACATAGAGGTAATCACATACTTCCACCACTTTCAAGAGTTAAAAAAAAAATAAAGGCAAACATGGAAGTCCTCATCAGACGTCCCCAAGCCTTAAATAAAACAGGCATTCACGTTTGGAATGCCATTCACCATTCTACCCTGTTCTAGGCAAATTCATTATACTTATACTGAACATTATGGTTTATATACTAGTACAGTATATTTTTATGTTCACATCTCTGTCTTGGTTCCATTAAATTATTATAATTACTCTTTGACTTTGTACATAAATTACATATGTTACTACACTACTGTATACACATATACAAACAATAAAATACTGAGAGAAACTCACCAACAGATTCCTCAGCAATAGACCATGATGTGCTGCCATGATGATCCTGGAGAGAGAATGGTATGTAATTATAAAACTTCTGTTTCATTCTAACAACTTTGAATTTGAAATTTAAAAGTAATGCAATATTTGACAACAGTGATTTTTTTTTTCTGTTTTTTTTATGGGAAGGTTATGCATACGGGCATAACGCGACGGGCTGGAGTTTTGAGACTATGACCGTGGGTTCAATCCCGGCCGGGGGTATGGTTTGATACATTTCAGTCAATTCCACCGATTCTAAAACCTATTAAAATACAATAAGGAACCTGATACACACTTCACAGTTTAGAACCTAAAGAATGAAATTAAACTGTTTAGGATTCCTCTTATAAAAACAATTATCAGATTGTCTTACATAAATAAACTATTAGTCAATGAATTATCAGTTGGCAATTGAAAAACAGCTGAATGGGTATCAAGAGAGTCTTGACACTGATGTTCCTCTTTACTCTGTAATTTCAAAGATTTAACACACACCTTTTTAATAAATTTAGAAATTCATTTGAATTTCTATCTCTTTGACATCTTGTTTCTCCCAGGAACTTTTCCTGTGCAGGACCAGCCAAGACAAAAGATTCCAAGTTTGTATCTGTATCCCATCTATCCATAGTCGTTATTTTACTTTCACTGGGCTCTTTCATGTATACACACCTACTTTTCCAAAGTGTTAAGTTTGTAACTTATTCCTCTTAATACCTTCTAATTTGCACCTTCACATTACTGTTGTGATTCTATCATTCATTCTCACATGTCCAAGCCACTGAAAAATACTTCTTTAAACCCACTATACTAACCTGCCCCTTGTGTTTCTGTCTTTCACTGCCATCCTACAACAACCATAACAATTTAATATACAATTTAATAGTATCTTACATAATATAAACAAATTTTTTTTAACTAAAATAGCCAGGGGCAAAAATCACTCTCAGTGTCTGCCATGTGACTCATTCAGTAGGATTTTGCATAATCTAAACAAATCTCATTGTTAAAGCTGATAGATCACAGAAAAAATAAATTAAGAAAATGGAGTAATTAAGTTTTTTGTTCTTACCTTAATATGTAAGCCAGATTTCAATAAATTATCTCTAAGATTATCACAGGCTTTCAAAAGAGGGATACGTTCCTTCCTCTTAGCTTTCTTCTCGTCAGGGGTCAGTACTTGCTGTAGGATAAAAGTATATTGCATTTGAATAATTTCACAAAACTATACAAAGCTGATGTTATTATACAAGTTTAAATATAAAATTGGCTAAAATTTCTGAAAACTCTTTCCTTGCCTTCATGGAGTCTTCGTCCTGTAAAAGTGCGAAAGCTCTCACTTGTTGCCGTAGATCAACCACAGAGTTCATTACCTGAGACAAGCGACCTCCGGATTCTAAAGACAAATTAGATGCATCACTCTGTTGGAAAGCCACAAGAAGTCATTAAGTTCAATGATATGTACCTATGCTGGTTATGTTTCAAATTTAATGTTTCATTTGCATAAGCTTTAAAAAATAATCTTCCTATTATTCAGTAACATCAAGGGTGGAAGAGTATAGAAATAAGACAAGATATAAGGTAGATAATAGGTAGGGGAAAGTGTTGAATGAAGATGAGAGTTTCTTCTTTCTTTTTGGGTTACCCTGCCTCAGTGGGAATCGGCCGACATGTTAAAAAAATAAATTTACTATACAGAGGTATTCAAAACAAACTTTTTTCAGTCTACAGAAAAAACTCTATAGTGCTTATGACTATTGAAGGCATTTACAGTGGACCCCAGCATAACGATCACCTCCGAATGCGAAGTGTATTTATGTAAGTGCGTTTGTACGTGCATGTTTGGGGGTCTGAAATGGACTAATCTACTTCACAATATTCCTTATGGGAACAAATTCGGTCAGTACTGGCACCTGAACATACTTCTGGATTGAAAAAATATCGTTAACCGGGGGTCCACTGTATAAGGTTCCTTATAAGAAATAAGAAAGATGCTGTCCTTTGCAAACATCAGAAGGTCAATGGAATAGGTTACTAAAGAAGATAGTGCTACAACCAATGGAAACTTTAAAAAAAAAAATTTACAACAGATGAAATACATACTGAAGGGACACCATGAGCTTAGCTCTGTTCCTGTAGCTACAGATATGCAGTCACATATAGGTAATCATATGCTGCAGCATATGATTATGTGTGAGTGAGGTGAAAGTGTTGAATGATGATGAAAGTATTTTCTTTTTGGGTCACCCTGCCTCGGTGGGAGACGGCTGACTTGTTTAAAAAAAAAAAAAAAAAAAAAAAAAAAAAAAAAAAAAAAAAAAAATGCTGCAGCATGCATTGCAAGGTTGAGTGGTTCACTGTGGAGTGGTGCTTGTCAACACAGCTTGAGTGGTTCACTCTGGGGTGGTGCTTGTCAACACAGATTGAGTGGTTCACTCTGGGGTGGTGCTTGTCAACACAGATTGAGTGGTTCACTGTGGGGTGGTGCTTGTCAACACAGATTGAGTGGTTCACTGTGGGGTGGTGCTTGTCAACACAGGTTGAGTGGTTCACTGTGGGGTGGTGCTTGTCAACACGGATTGAGTGGTTCACTGTGGGGTGGTGCTTGTCAACACAGGTTGAGTGGTTCACTGTGGGGTGGTGCTTGTCATCACAGGCTGAGTGGTTCACTGTGGGGTGGTGCTCGTCAACACAGGTTGAGTGGTTCACTGTGGGGTGGTGCTTGTCAACACAGGTTGAGTGGCTCACCGTGGGGTGGTGCTCGTCAACACAGGTCAAGTGGTTCACTGTGGGGTGGTGCTTGTCAACACAGGTTGAGTTGGTTCACTGTGGGGTGGTGCTTGTCAACACAGGTTGAGTGGTTCACTGTGGGGTGGTGCTTGTCATCACAGGCTGAGTGGTTCACTGTGGGGTGGTGCTCGTCAACACAGGTTGAGTGGTTCACTGTGGGGTGGTGCTTGTCAACACAGGTTGAGTGGCTCACCGTGGGGTGGTGCTCGTCAACACAGGTCGAGTGGTTCACTGTGGGGTGGTGCTTGTCAACACGGGTTGAGTTGGTTCACTGTGGGGTGGTGCTTGTCAACACAGGTTGAGTGGTTCACTGTAGGGTGGTGCTTGTCAACACAGGTTGAGTGGTTCACTGTGGGGTGGTGCTTGTCAACACAGGTTGAGTGGTTCACTGTGGGGTGGAGCTTGTCAACACAGGTTGAGTGGTTCACTGTGGGGTGGTGCTTGTCAACACAGGTTAAGTGGTTCACCGTGGGGTGGTGCTTGTCAACACAGGTTGAGTGGTTCACTGTGGAGTGGTGCTTGTCAACACAGGTTGAGTGGTTCACTGTGGGGGTGGTGCTTGTCAACACAGGTTGAGTGGTTCACTCTGGGGTGGTGCTTGTCAACACAGGTTGAGTGGTTCACTGTGGGGTGGTGCTTGTCAACACAGATTGAGTGGTTCACTGTGGGGTGGTGCTTGTCAACACAGATTGAGTGGTTCACTGTGGGGTGGTGCTTGTCATCACAGGTTGAGTTTGCCAAACTACACATGTTGTCATTTATTTTTTATTTAATTTATGATGAAGTGCTAAACCCATAAGTATCATAGGGCAGGCGAGCTCCAATTCTTTGGATTAATAGCTCTTGAATGGATTAAGACCAATGGCTACAGTTTTCTCATGTTTTCAAGTGTATTAATAAGGACTTGCAAGTTGCAACTAGCTTTTCATTTCCTACCTAAATTTCTATCACAGTTACTTGATTTATTATTTTTAAACCATACATCCAGCATTTATTTCCTCTTTACTACTAGCTGTAGCATTAGATAGTGATGCATTGTGTATTTGTCCCTGTAACACATCCTACTTAAAACAACAAAAAATTATATGTAAATCTGTAATTCTCTGTTCCCTAGGTAGACATTAATATTTTCCCCCATACACATGCACTAATTAAGGTTTAGGGAACATAGTTATGTTTATTACATAATACATGGAGACAAAGTCTCGTATCATGGATTAGGATACAACAGTGATCAATGCTACACTCATAAAACTAGGAGGTATTTGACAGGCAACCATGTATGTCTAAGAACAAGGAAGAAAACAAAGGAATTTTGCGCAATCTATAAGATCACTTGTGCTAGAAAAGACTGCTACCAATTCTAGTACCATGAACCCCCATTCCCATGATTAAATGGCCCTAAACATCTTGCAATCCTCCATCCCTTTAGACAAGCTCCATAACACATTGCAATCCTTCTCATCTCCCTGGGCTAGTGACTGAACTGGAACATACCAATATAACACTTCATCCTCTTGTCCTTAACAAATGACCCACAATATCTTAATTTATAACCCCTCCCAGACAAGGGAACTACAACACACAATCTTCGCCTTCTACAGCAAAATGCTGTATAATGCATTCTTTTTTTTCCACAATCACTTACCACACTGGGAAAATGAATACCAAACACATCCTCCATTAGGTAGTGGATATAACTACACACAGCTACCATTGTTCCTGCACTTCTTGACAGACTGGTACTCTTGAAAGCAAGGACAACACAAGAAAATATAAATTTTTGTAAGTTGATACTCCTGAAAGCAAGGACAACACAAGAATACATAAATTTTTTCAAGTTGTCTTTAAGATGGGAAATTATAATAATTCACACATGATGCTTTATATATCAAACATTTATTCTTTGAAAGGAAAACATCATTTTGCTAAATTCTTCAAATAAAAAATCCTTGACTTTCTAATCTATGAAAAGGATAGGTTACACACAAATTTTTCAATTTGCTTTTCAATATGTTACCAAATGATAAAATAACAATAAAATACAGTGGTACCTCGAGTTACAAACTTAATTTGTTCCAGAAGACTGTTCGAGTGCCGATACTGAACGAATTTGTTCCCATGAGGAATAATGTAAATTAGATTAGCCCGTTTCAGACCCCCAAAAATACACTTACGAAAGCACTTACAAAAATACACTTACATAACTGATCGAGTTGGGAGCTATTCGAAACTTGAGGTACCACTGTATCAGGAATGCATTTTATGGCTGTCTTCATTATTAGTTTTCAAATGCACAACTGAGTTTTTGATATTTTAATAAGTTTTACCTAAACAGAATGCACTTTTGATGAAACATTATCACCATTACATATAATACATTTTAAAAGCATTCTATGAAACCTTAATGTAGCAGTAGTCTAAAAACCAGCAAAGATAATACCTGTGGCTTTTTTTGGAGTTCCTTATTGCCAAGGTTTATTAGATCAAGTACTGCATCCAGTGCTCGCACTGTATCAAAATCATCTGCTAGTGATCTTTTCACCTTAAATCGAGTTTCAACCAGTTTCTGAAATTAAAAAAAACAAGTTTTAGTTTAGATAAAATCCTTAAAAATTTTAAGCCCAGAATGTCATCTTGTTTGCCTTCTGTGGTATTAAGAAGTATTAGTGTTAGGTCAGTGATACAGATGCCATTAAACTTGCCTTGCCTAATCAAACAAATGTCTTCTGAAAACCGCTCAGTGCACCTCTCACTCTTCTGACCCTACCATTCAATTCTTATATTTTTTGAACATTTGCTGAGCTGTAGAAGTTTTGTAGCTAATAGATGGATTTGTATTGCTGAGGAAATAAGCCATTTCACCAGTCAAAATCTTGGGGGTAATTCACTCAATTTAGGCCTGGCAATATTTTAGTAAGTACTAGCACATTTAAAAGAATTTACTATCCATGATTGTCCTACAGTTTTCCCTTTCAATTTCTACCATCTTCACTGGAGTTCTCCGGATATCTTGGACTGTAGGATGCCTCGTTGGTCTCAAAACCTCAATTCCACTCATGAGCAACAATTCATTCTTTCAGAGGACTACTGATTCTTCTACCTTCCTCTCTATGGTCAGTGCTACAGTAATGATTCCTACTGGTGCATCTCTGAATTTGTGTGCCAACGAATCCGCCAAATCTGACGTGAAATCTCTTCAAATATTCTCTATATCCAGCTTGTCAGTCTGCATTACTCCATTCCCACTTCCCTTTTATAGGAAGAGAGAATATAAATGTGTAAATTCAAGGATTATGTGGATTAAAATAAGGGTCGGATGCAAAAAGTGGGTCATAATAAGCATGTATGCACCTGGAGAAGAGAGGAGTGTAGAGGAGAGAGAGAGATTTTTGGGAGATGTTAAGCGAATGTATAGGAACCTTTGAACCAAGTGAGAGAGTAATTGTGGTAGAGAACCTAAATGTTAAAGTAGGAGAAACATTTAGAGAGGGTGTGGTAGGTAAGTTTGGGGTGCCAGGTGTAAATGATAATGGGAGCCCTTTGATTGAACTTTGTATAGAAAGGGGTTTAATTATAGGTAATACATATTTTAAGAAAAAGAGGATAAGTATACAAAATATGATGTAGGGCATAATGACAGTAGTTTGTTGGACTATGTATTGGTAGATAAAAGACTGTTGAGTAGACTTCAGGATGTACATGTTTATAGAGGAGCCACAGATATATCAGATCACTTTTTAGTTGTAGCTACAGTGAGAGTAAAAGGTAGATGGGATACAAGGAAAATAGAAGCAGCAAGTAAGAGAGAGGTGAAGGTGTATAAACTAAAAGAGGAGGCAGTTACGGTAAGATATAAACAACTATTGGAGGATAGATGGGCTAGTGAGAGTATAGGCAATGGGGTTGAAGATGTATGGGGTAGGTTTAAGAATGTAGTGTTAGAGTGTTCAGCAGAAGTTCGTGGTTACATGAAAGTGGGTGCGGGAGGAAGAAGAGTGATTGGTGGAATGATGATGTAAAGAGTAGTAAGGGAGAAAAAGTTAGCATACGAGAGGTTTTTACAAAGCAGAAGTGATGCAAGGAGGGAAGAGTATATGGAGAGAAAGAGAGGTTAAGAGAGTGGCAAAGCAATGTAAAAAGAGAGCAAATGAGGGAGTGGGTGAGATGTTATCAACTAACTTTGCTGAATGAAAATAAGAAAAAGTTTTGGAGCGAGATTAATAAGCTGAGGAAGCCTAGGGAACAAATGGATTTGACAGTTAAAAATAGGAGAGGAGAGTTCGTAAATGGAGAGTTAGGGGTATCAGGAAGATGGAGGGAATATTTTGAGGAATTGTTAAGTGTTGATGAAAACAGGGAAGCTGTGATTTCGTATATAGGGCAAGGAGGAATGACATCTTGTAGGAGTGAGGAAAAGCAGGTGTGAGTGTAGGGGAAGTATGTTTGTTAGTCACAGTACTATGTAAGACAATTCCTAGAATCTTGGAATCTTGGTAGAATGAAAGAGGGGTAAGGCAGGTGGGATTGATGGGATAAAGATAGAAATGTTAAAAGCAGGTGGGAATATAGTTCTACTGTCTTCTAATTATGTCCCAGAATCTGTATTGATAAAGCCACTGGATGGCAAAACGTCTACAATAAAGATAACCAGATGTTGCACATGCATCTTAACTTTCATATCCATTATTATCCACTTAAACTTCAGTCTGGATAGTCCCACTCTTTTAACTTAGTCCACCATCTCCTTCCACCTCCCTTTTTGCCATAACAAAGTGGGACCCAACCCCCAAATGAATTTAAGCACTTTTATAGCCATGGAAACAACTGTAACTGTGAATAAGAAATTCAAGTACAGCACTGTACTATTAAAAATTAAATTCAAATCTCAAAGGATCTGGCATTCTCAGAACTATAGTAAACAATTTAAACCCTGAATCTCATAAATACTCAGAGACAATTTAACCCAATGATGAGATGTCACCACATACCTTCATGTGACCTCCAGTCCACAATATAAACATATCTCTTTCCCAGTCTCTTGTATCTCAATTGGAGGTCAAAATATACAGACAAACTTTCTTTCCAGTTTTGTCTCCATGTTGGTTATATTGTTCCATGCAAGTCATGTTTTTCTGAATAAAAAATCTGAATGGGTAATCAAGTTATTAAGCATCTCTTTCTCTTTTATAGCCTCTGTATTAAATTAATAAAGCTACACTTGATAAAGCAGCAAAATTTTTTTTTATAATATAGCCTTTTTTGAAGGATGTTCCATGAAAAAAGAGGACCCCTTAATAAAGCATAAAGCAAACTATAAGTAATTATAAAACTCTCACCTGCTTCAGCCCTGCTTCATCAAGTGGTGCACATTTCAACTGGCCATTGATATACGCATAAGCATCATGAAGAAAGGAGCGTATCCGCCTCAGGTGCGCCTTTGCTTGAGCCATGGACATCTGAGTATATTCCACCTCTGAATGTTACATATCATATATGGGTTAGCAAAAATTAACATTACTGTAAAAAACTGTGAAAGAGTACTGACATTAAATGACTGTAGCAACGCCAAGAAAAAAAAAGGTGGATAAAAAAGCAAATCTTTTGAAGTCATACAAAAGCACCTTTTTCGTCTTATTTGAATATCTAAACCACCTCAACAACCCCTCCTCAGCACTCTGAATAATAGTTTTAGTAAACCCATGCCATCTTTTAATCTCCAAGCTCTCAATTCTCTGCATAATATTCACACCACACATTGCCCTCAAACATGACATCTCCACTGCTCCAGTTTTCTCCTCACTCCACTGTTTAAAACCCATGCTTCACACCTATGTGTGTTCGTACTACTGTACTTAGGTACATTCCCCTTTTTGTCTCCATTGATAAAGGTCTTTGTTGCCATAGACACCACAATGCACCACCTATCTCATCAATTCCATGGTTCACCTTGTCCTTCATAGACCCATCCACTGACAGATTTACTCTCAAATGCCTGAACACATCTGCTTCCTCCATAATCTCTCTCTTTAATTTAATATTCAGTACTTCACTGCCTAGATTTTGTTACTCTCATCATCTTGCTTTTTCCCATGTTCACTTTTAATTTCCTCCTTTTACATACCCTGCCAAATTCTTCAATTAATCTTTGAAACTTCTCTTCAGACTCTCCCAAAAGAACCATGTCATCAGCTAAAAGCATCTGTGACAACTGCCACTACATATCAAATTTGTATTTACGGTACATTAATTTGTATATATATACAGTAACAGCACTTGAAACATATCCAAATTATACAAAAATAAATAATGTGTGCAATTAGAACAATTCCAATAGAGGCTAAACTGAGACAAGACAAAGGTACTCACTATTGCGATAGTGTGAGAGGAGGCAGAAAAGCCGAAAGGTATTGACTGAATGTTGTTCAAGTAGCGCCTGAATGCCTATTGTATTTGATAATGACTTCGACATCTTCTCTGTTCCTTTAGTATGAAGGTGGCCTGCAATAAATATATATAAAAAGTATTTTTCTGCCATGGGGATCTAATTATCATCATCATTATGGAGAAAAGTCAAACCCACTAGGGTCATACAGCACCTGGTGAATGGAAAATAATTGTTTGATCCAAGGAAGAGCAAGGTAGCTCCAACTCTTTGATTCAAAGATTCCTTCACCAGCACCAAGGGTGCTGGTGAAGGGTGGAGGGTGGAGGGTGGAGCTCTAATGACCCACTAAGAAAACAACCAGAATGCTAACATTTCCATTTACCTCTATACAGCCCAGTAAGTACTACTAAATCACAGCTGGTTAACTAGATATGCTATCTTCACCTTCCACTTGTATTATACACACTGGATATCTCTACAATCAGTTTTGATTTCTGTCCCTTGGTGGGTCTAAGTCTCAGACAGGATATAGTATACTGTATCCATTATATATAAGGTTAAAGATTCCAGGGACCATTGGTCCAGAAACCTGGCCTCGGACCAGGTTTCCTAAATCAGAAAGGAAGGACATATCAAGTATAAGAATCATTATGAAACACAGGAAAGTGTGTACATACGTTAAGTAAACATTTTAAAATATACCTACCATCTTACATGTTTATAAAATAGAAATGAAAAAACAAGCAATGATTTCAGAACGTAAAGCTTTTAGTAGGCTTGTTTCACATTTACGTATAAGACAGGACAGTAGTGCCTCTATATACTTCTCTGGATGACTGCTGTCTACCAACCTACATGTGGTTGATCATCTGCTCTGCTCAATGAGGATACCTGAGAGTGATAACAATACTTTCTACTTTGTTCACTGGCTCTGACTGCCAAACAACCTGTCATGAGTGTTCCTCAGCAGGACAAAGCCTTACACAAAGAGAAGGAACCTTCTACTTCAGGTCCTGGAGATTCCCAGGAGCTGATAGGAAAATGATGACCTATTCAGGCCATATGAACATCCTCCTCAGTGTTTTAAGAACAGCACTCAGTTCTTTCCTCAGAGCTCTGCAAGCTTCATGTCCCAGAATACAACAGATTCTATGATTTGGCCCTCAGGTATTTTTTGAGCCTGTCTTTGCCTTTTTCAGCCTAATTTCTCATTTCCTTACATTCATGAGGATACATAGCTGAATGTATATTTTGACTTCCTGGAGTGAAAAAACTGACTCCCACTCAGGAAAACACTTGACCCATATTTACCAGGGAGTTCAGTATCAAAATCTCTGCTGAAAGAATGATAATGAAAGGACTCTTAGTTATTTTCCAAGGGCAAATTCCTTCCTTTGTATTAAAAACTGGCCTCCCTCCACACATCAGTTTGACGACTGTTTACACATCTCAGTGCTTTGGCTCCTTACATGTAAATTTCTGTCCTAATCCCCCAGCCTTTGAATATAGGGCTTGTTTGCATTCATTTATCTGCCTTCCCTCAATCACAATTTCCCTCTTCCCAAACTTCTTCCTCTCTTTCCCCACCTTTTACTCACTCATTTCCAGTGTTATCTGTCTTTCAACATATGAAGTCCTTTCAAGATTCTAGGAATTGTGTCTTACATAGTACTGTGACTAACAGGCTACCTTGTACTGTGGTTCTTGGTATTCTGACTAACAGGCTACTTGGTATTCTGAAAATCACAAATTTAAACACAGTTAATTAACTCTTTGACTGTCGCAACCCCCAATCCTAGAGTGTCTCTCAGTGTCGCAAAATATTTGGAAAAAAAAAAAAAGTTATTTTTTCTTATGAAACGACAGAGAAACTTTTCCTGATGCTAATGACACCAAAAGTACAAAATATGATGGAAAACTTGCAGAATTATGCTCTCACAAAGTAAGCAATCTCAGAGATATTTACACATCGGCGATTTCACACACTTTGAGCCCTATTTTCAGCCAATTCCATTGTTCCAGTCGACCAAAATCATAGCTATTTCTTTAGAACTCCATTTGTTCTATCGATTGAGTACAATAAACCACCCATTTACTGATTTTCAACTACGCAATAAAGTGGTCAGAAATTGGCAATTTGGCCAATTTCACGCAAAATTAAAAAATATGCCAATTTCAAAATAGGGTCCAGAATGAACAATGCAGACATTCTTGGCACTAAAATAAAATTTTATCTGTTCATCAGTCATGTCTCCAGGCCCCTGTTATATTACTCTTGCTTTCTATTTTGAATTTTTATTCACACAAAAAATAGAAGATTTATTGTTATGCAGACTACTGCATTATTGTAATAATTGTATAAATAATGTCAACCCATTCATGACTGCGTATTAGAATGGCTAGTTGGACATTTATTGGACAATGATGTCATTTGTGTACTCTTGAACATCGGCAAAAACTGAACATTTCCACTACTTTGAGCTCCATTTCAAGGTCCTTTTCAGAGAAACCAATCAAAATCATCTCTATTTTTATAATATGTCTTCCATTCTATCAAATGAGACCAAGAAAACGAGAATACAAAATACATACTATACAAAAATACACCTCAAGGTCGGTGTTTTAATCCAAAAACACTGTCAGTTTTTTTTTTCTCATTATGCACTGTGTGCTGCAGGATTTTTTTTTATGCTGCACACACTGAACACACAAACCCATTCTCTCACATGTGGGAGTACCAGCTTTCTCCCGCTTGATTTGAAGCCGTTAGAATTTTTGAGTAGTATATATACGCCAAACACATTGGCTTGTAAGATGTATATATACGACCGAAACAGTCAATGGGTTAAAGACCATTATGAGAGGATACTCACCAGTGTGTATCCAGTAATTACACCACTGATGACAGCCATGGTAACCACAGCACTGTGCTTCCTCATTTTCATGGTGAGGAAAAAGTAAGTCAATCCCTCCAGAGTGCAAGTCCAGTTGTGTACCCAATATATGACTGAAAATACACACACAAAAATACAAAACATTACAATACTAGACTGAATGAGTGGATAATCAGCTAATAAAAAACCTATCATAATCATGATAGATTAGAAACCATTATACTACTATAAAATTCACACAAAGATTATTTCACTGCTATTGCATCAGTGTATGTTCTCCAGTACCAAAAATTAAGCATATATAATTTTTTCAAACAAATTTAGCTGCAAACCATATACTACATACTAGCTCTCAAATATAGAGAGAAAAGCTAAAAAAAAATTGTACAGACCATGTTTAATGAAAACTAAAATATACTTAGCAGTGGTTGTGTGGAATTCACACCTAAAAAACAAAAAATGGACGAGTTGGAAAAAGCCCAAAGAAAGCCTTAAAAAGGCTCACAGAGCTAAAAATAAAAAATTACAATGAACGGCTGAAAACATTAAAGAAGCCATATGTAAGGTCATAAAAGAATATGACAAAAAAGATACTGCGAAGATTTCTTGGCACCTTTGAAAGGGAGAACACGAGGACACAGTGATGAATTAAGAAAAAATGGAGCCAAAATACAATTAAGATTTGTGGCAAACAGAATATTGAAATAATGCAGTAAATTAGAGGAGGAGGTGGTGGTGGTAGTTCCAGGTGCTACATCCATGGGATTTTTTTAATTATATGATTATTTAATTACTGAGAAACATAATATAACAGAAGACAGGTTAGAAAGAGTTGATTTAGACTCTAAAGACTGGAACTTTAGATGTTATGACAACCTCTCTTGGAAACCACTTTGAAAGAGTGTTCCATTCAAATCAAAGTTACCTAGCCATTGCAGAGCATTCAATATGCCATCCAGGTCTACCACGACCCCAGGGAGAGTCCCAAGATGGCTCGCCACCCTTGGCTCCCTTCCAGAGAGCAAAGTCTCGAGCTGATTTCTTTATACCAGCTCCACGCATGTCCAACGACTCATCCAATGGAGACATTTTCCCATAACGACCATATGCTTTAGTATCAAAGTACACTGACCCTGGAAGTTGAAGAAAATTATAACAAATAACAATATTCAGTTCAATTTCTTCCTGAGTATTATGGCTAAAATCTATGAACAACATATCACTCTCCAGAAATGTGGAAAAATGGTTGGCAAAAGCTTTTTAAGGTCATAAATGACTCTTTATCAGTGCCATGGGAAAATAACATGAAAAATATTTAGATCACACTTAGCACAAACCACATAATGAAAAGGTGAACAATTAAAAGCATGGGATGAAAGAGTTGAGGAAGACCAAGAAGTGTTCACATCTTCAGTCCTGGGAAGAACATCATAATGTACGTTTGCTACATGACCTCTTTGACACCTGGTGAACTATAAAATGCAGGTGATGAAAAGTTTGAGGAAGACTAAGAGGTATGCGCTTCTGGCACGAACATGGAGTATATTTTCAACTTGGTGGCCTAGTTTCTATAACAGTTTTATTTCCTGATCTAAAATGCAGATGGACAACACCTTAAGACTAAACTCACCGTCATTAACAGCATACGCCAGTTTTCTATCAATGATGCCCTGGACAAAGGAAATAATGTGAGGAACATATTCTGTCACTCTGGGTGCCAGCGAAGGGCGAAGCACTCGTAGGCGATCCATGTCCGCAAAAAACTCCTGCTCATGTAATTCAGTAATCTCCTTGAAGTTGACATTAAGCTAGACAAGTAAAAGATGTAGTCTTAATTAGCTGCAATAAAAGAAGAGATGGTTACAGATAAAATGAAATATTATTCACATAACCATTAGAAATACAGGTTTCCCTCTCACTCTATGTAGTTTTGCTTTGTATGAATTAACTTACATGTGGCGATCCTATTACCACCGTTTACTTTCTCATGTGATTCCTTAAGTCCATAATAATAGTAATAATAATAATTTTTTTTTTCAACCAGTCGGCCGTCTCCCACCGAGGCAGGGTGACCCAAAAAAGAAAGAAAATCCCCAAAAAGAAAATACTTTCATCATTCAACACTTTCACCTCACTCACACATTATCACTGTTTTTGCAGAAGTGCTCAGAATACAACAGTTTAGAAGCATATACATATACTTGAGTCCTGGAAATGGGAAGTACAATGCCTGCACTTTAAAGGAGGGGTTTGAGATATTGGCAGTTTGGAGGGATATGTTGTGTATCTTTATATGTGTATGCTTCTAGACTGTTGTATTCTGAGCACCTCTGCAAAAACAGTGATAATGTGCGAGTGTGGTGAAAGTGTTGAATGATGATGAGAGTATTTTCTTTTTGGGGATTTTCTTTCTTTTCTGGGTCACCCTGCCTCGGTGGGAGACGGCCGACTTGTTGAGAAAAAAAAAAAAACATATAAAGATACACAACATATCCCTCCAAACTGCCAATATCCCAAACCCCTCCTTTAAAGTCCAGGACTCAAGTCTGGCTATATTAAAATAACCGGTTTCCCTGAATCCCTTCACTAAATATTACCCTGCTCACACTCCAACAACAATAATAATAATAATAATAACACACCTACCATCCGACTTACGACCTGCTCGACATATGACCATTCGACTTACGACAGTGTTTTCTATGCCAAATTTCTGGAAAATTAACAACTGTTTGTGTTGTACACAGTGTTTATCCTAAACCTTACAGTATAAAATACAGTACTAACAGCATAAAAAGTAAAGTAAAAAATGAAATACCAAAATAAAACAATAAAATAAAGTCATTACAAAAATGTGATGTTAATATTCAGTAGTAAGGTTCGACTTGCGTCCATTTTGGCTTACAACCGGTTTGTCGGAACCGAACTCGGTCGTAAGTCAGATGGTACCTGTAATATCTTTATTTCTACAAGTACATGTACAAGGTATACAGGCATAGCTGACATCAATGACATACTGTACTACTAAATAGAAAGCCACTTGTTATGCAGAGTATTTTGGGTAAATTAGGTCAGTTTTGTCCCAGGATGCAACCCCGGGCTGTGGCTCGTACGTTGGTTTGCGTGCAGCCAGTAGCAACAGCCTGGTTGATCAGGCTCTGATCCACCAGGAGGCCTGGTCACAGACCGGGCCGCGGGGGCGTTGACCCCCGGAACTCTCTCCAGGTAAACACCAGTTGACTAACACCCAGGTACCTATTTTACTGATGGGAAACATAGACAACCAATGTAAAGAAACACGCCCAATGTTTCTACCCTCGCTGGGAATCGAATCCTGATCCTCGCCATGTGAAGCGAGAGCTTTAGCCATCAGGCCACGGAGCACTACTTAAAATTGTAATAATCTCTAATTCAAACTAATTTATACTGACATAAGAAAAAATAAGACAAAGAAAACAGATTTGGGCATGGGAAATCTAATAAGCATACAGTATTTTGAACGAAGTCTCAGGACTGATTGACAATTTAAGAGTCTAGCTAGACTCAAGTATGGAACTAGGGGTGGGTAGAGGAAAGAGAAGTTTTTATAACCTACTATATTTAATTTTTACAGTACGTCGAGTTCCATGACAAGCACAGTATTAACTTCTGAATTAATCGCACATTATATTACAGGTATATACAATAGTAAATACAATAGTATTAATTTTATGCTTCCTTTTAAATTCTCCAATTTGACTGACCCTTACCTTAAGAATGGTTATGTACAAATTGGTAGCAAGTACTTAATCAGGTGGTTCAAGTTAACTGTGAAAGCACCAATATTGAGAAAATATTTACTTCATCATAATTTTACTGGCATGCAACACTTTTCACATGTTCTTTTAAGATTATATTTTTTTATATCCAGCTTTCATATATAATTCTATTTACTGCTTTATTTTCCATTATAACAAGAAAAACTCAATCATACTTACTTCTTTTGCCCTTTTAATTATTTTGTCATCAATATCTGTGATACCGACCACCATCACAACATTGAGACCAAAGATTCTTGATAGGATTCTTCGTATAATATCAAACTTTACATAAGACCTGAAAGATATAGCAGAACTTTCAAGAATGATAATTAAAATAATAGACAGTACAATAAAATGGGAATAATTATAATTAATAACCACCCTGAAGGTGCCAAAGTGGAGATTTTTGTTAAAGCAACCATGATATTTAAATCAAAGACCAATTTAAGACTAACTAAATGATATATTAAAGATTACATACATGATCATTAACTCTTTAATACTTCATTGCACACACTATATTTTTTTTTGTGGACTGTTTTCAATTTTCACCCATTCCAATAAAAGAGTACAGCCTCTCCTCACTTAATGATGGAGTTCCGTTCCTAAGACCATGTTGGTAAATGAATTCGTCGCTAAGTGAGGAGCATACTATAATGGTAGTGGGTGTGTATCAACTATCTTTGATATTGTTTTAATGTCACCTTTTCACCATTTATAACATTTCTGGGACATACATTTTTAAATGTTTATACAATAGTGTACTGTATATTGTAATAAGCAGAATAGAGGAAATAAGCTCTAATATACATTATTTAGGCATGCATACTGGTAAGAGAGCCCGTCATGAGTCCGAGGCGTCAGTAAACGAGTACATCGCTAAGTGAGGAAAGGCTGTACTTTATTTCTCTGACACACCAGCTGTCTCCCACCAAGGCAGGGTAACCCAGAAAAGAAGAAATGAAAGTTTTTCTTTTTCTTTACATTTAGTAATTTTTACAGAAGGGGTTACTAGCCCTTTGCTCCTAGAATAGTACTTATAGTACTTTTTTTTAACATACTGGCCATCTCCCACTGAGGTAGGGTGACCCGGAAAAAGAAACTCTCACCATCATTCACACTATTTTTGTCTTCCCAGAGGCATGCAGATATGACAGTTAAGATGTCCCTCTAAACAGCAAATATTCCAAACACTTCCTTTAGAGTGCAGGCACTGCACTCTAAAGATTCAAGTCTGGCTAACCAGTAAAAGTAGCTTTTGGCCCCTTCTCAGTGACCTTGTTGGATAGAAAGTTGGTCTTGTCTAGCTGGTCTACTGTGGAGACTGTCCAGGTGGGTGGAATTACTGGAAGGAACACACAGAAATCTGTGTCCCGTAATTACACCCACCCAGATAGTTACAACAATAAGCCAGTTGAACGAGATCCAGTTCCCAGCCAACACAGCCACCAAGCAGAGTACTTTTTTTTTTTTTCAACATATTGGCCATTTCCCACTGAGGCACAGACACAGGGTATCTAATCCCTAAGCTGCTAAAAACAACAGACATAACTCCACTCCACAATGGGGCAGTAAAGCAATAGCAAAGAATTACAGACTGATAGCACTAACATCCCATATCATAAATATCTTTGAATGGGTTCTATGAAGCAAGATTGCCACCCATTTAGATACCCATTAGTTACACAACCCAGGGCAGCATGGGTTTAGAGCAGGTCACTCCTGTCTGTCCCAACTACTGGACCACTATGACAAGGTCCTCGATGCTGTAGGAGACAGACAAAATGCAGGTGTAATATACACAGACTTTGCAAAACCTTTGACAAGTGTGACCATGGTGTAATAGTGCACAAAATGCATGATAAAGGAATAACAGGAAAAGTTGGTAGATGGATCTATAATTTCCTAACAAATAGAACACAAAGAGTAGTAGTAAACAGAGTAAAGTCTGAGGCGGCTATGGTGAAAAGCTCTGTTCCACAAGGCACAGTACAGTGGACCCCCACATAGCGACTTTAATCCGTGCAAGAGGGCTCATTGTTATGGGAAATGATCGGTATGCGAATGAATTTTCCCCATAAGAAATAATAGAAATCAAATTAATCCATGCAAGACACCCAAAAGTATGAAAAAAAAAAAATTTACCACATGAAATATACATTTTCCTACACACAAAGAGAAGGATACATGTACAATAGTAGAGTAGTACATGCACAATATATATTGTGCATGTACTACTCTACTAAATGAAGAATAAATGACACTTACCTTTATTGAAGATGCAGCAATGACTGATGAGACACTGTGTCCTGGGAGTGCCTTTTCCTCCTGAGTACTGTAGGTCCTGTTTGGCATTTTCTTCCAGAACAGGCCTTATCACACTGTGTATGCCACTACGATTCTTAAATCTCTCAAACCAACCTTTGCTGGCTTTAAATTCACCAATATGAGCACTAGTTCCAGGCATTTTTTCCTGTTCACCTGGGTGTTAGTCGACTGGTGGGTTGCATCCTGGGAGACAAGATTAAGGACCCCAATGGAAATAAGTTAGACAGTCTTCGATGACACTGACTTTTTTGGGTTATCCTGGGTGGCAAATCCTCTGGGGTTAATTGTTTCTTGGTATTCTCAATAAGCCACACCAACAACGGTGCTACAGCAGCAGCAGCAGCAGCTGACAGTGATACAGCAGCAGCAGACGATGCTACAGCAGCAGCAGACGCTACTACAGCAGCAGCAGACGGTACTACAGCAGCAGCAGCAGCAGCAGCTGATGGTGGTACAACAGCAGCAGCAGCTGACAGTGCTACAGCAGCAGCAGACGATGCTACAGCAGCAGCAGACGATGCTACAGCAGCAGCAGATGGTACTACAGCAGCAGCAGCAGCTGACGGTGGTACAGCAGCAGCAGCAGCTGTACCACCAATAGTAGCGATGGTTGATTGGGGTTTATTATACAACCTGGCCAGCTCGGAGACACGCACTCCACTTTCATACTTATCAATGATCTTTTTCTTCATCTCTATAGTAATTCTCACCCTTATTGCTGTAGGGTTGGCACTAGAAGCTTTCTTGGGGCCCATGGTCACTTATTTTGCAGATAAAATCACCAAAAACACTGTAATAATACGAAATGTTCCGAATGTATGCTTGGATGTTACCGCGGAGGCTGGCTGGTAAACAATGCCACCGGCGGCACATGTGAGGCTGGCTAAGGGCGCACATTGGACGCGTCTCGGACGAAGAGCGGTGAGTGGGTTTTTGAGCGGTATGCGAGGCAAAATTTTTGCGATAAAAGCGAGCGGTATGTGGATTGAACGTTATGTGATGCCGACGGTATGCGGGGGTCCACTGTACTTGCTCCCATCTTGTTCCTCATCCTCATATCTGACACAGACAGAGATATAAGCCACAGCGCCATGTCTTCCTTTGCAAATGACACCCAAAACTGCATGACAGTGTCCTCCATTAAGACACCAGAAGACTCCAGACAGACATCATCCAAATCTTTAAATGGGCCACAGAAAACAATATGAAGTTCAATGATGAGAAATTGCAATTAGTGTACTCTGACATGGAAAACATGAGGAAACTGAAACTACATCAGAGTATAAAACAAATTCCAACCACACAATAGAGTGAAAAACTGATGTAAAAGACCTGGGAGTAATCATGTCAGAGGATCTAACGTTTAAAGACCATAACATTGTATCAATTGCATATGCTAGATAAATGATAGAATGGATAATGAGAACCTTCAAAACTAAGGATTCCAAGCTCATAATGACACTATTCAGGTCGCGTGTTCTATCTAGGTTGGAATATTGCTGCACACTAACAGCACCTTTCAAGGCAGGTGAAATTGCTGACCTAGAAAATGTACCGAGAACCTTCACAGCACACATAACTGCGATAAAATGCCTCAATTACTGGGAACGCTTGAAGTTCCTCAACCTGTACTCCCTAGAATGCAGGCGGGAGAGATGCATGATTATGTACACTTGGAAAATCATATAGGGATTAGTACCAAACTTGCATACGAAAATCACTCCCTATGAAAGCAAAAGACTCGGCAGACAATGTAACATCCCCCCAATGGAAAGCAGGGGTGCCACTAGCATGATAAGAGACAACACAGTAAGTGTGAGGGGCCAAGACTGTTCAACTGCCTCCCAACATACATAAGGGGGATTATCAATACACCCCTGGCTGTCTTCAAGCAGGCACTGGACAGGCACCTATAGTCAGTACCTGACCAGCTGGGCTGTGGTTCGCACGCTGGGTTGCATGTAGCCAACAGTAACAGCCTGGTTGATCAGGCCCTGATCCACCATGAGGCCTGGTCACAGACTGGGCTACGGGGGCATTGACCTCCGGAGCCCTCTCCAGGTATGGAGGCAGGGTGACCCAAAAAGAAAGAAAAACCCAAAAAGAAAGAATAAGCTTTCAACATTCAAACACTTTCACCATCATTCATACATAATCACTGCCTTTGCAGAGGCGCTCAGATACGACAGTTTAGATGTCCCTCCAAACTGTCAATATCCCAAATCCCTCCTTTAAAGGGACTTAAGTCCGGCTCACTCGTTTCCCTGAATCTGTTCACAAAATATCACCCTGCTCACATTCCAAGAACTCATCAGGTTCTAAAAACCATTTGTCTCCATTCACTCCTAACTAACACGCTCATGCACGCTTGCTGGAAGTCCAAGCCCCTTGCCTACAAAGCCTCCTTTACCCCCTCCCTCCAACCTTTTCGAGGACGACCCCTATCCCGCCTTCTTTCCCCTACAGATTTATACACTCTCCAAGTCATTCTACTTTGTTTCATTCTCTTTAAATGACCAAACTGTCTCAACAAACCCTCTTCAGCCCTCTGACTAATACTTTTTAGTAATCATACCTCCTCCTAATTTCCACACTACAAATTCTCTGCATAATATTTACACCATATGACATCTCCACTGCCTCCAGTCTCCTCCTTGCTGCAGCATTTACAACCCATGCTTCAAACCCACATAAGAGTGTTGGTACCACTTAACTCTCATACATTCCCTTCTTTGCCTCCATGGATAACATTTTTTGTCTCCACAGATACCTCAATGCACCACTCTTCTTTTTTTTCCTTCATCAATTCTATGGTTAATCTCTTCATTGATAAGCCCATCAGCTGACAAGTCAACTCCCAAATATCTGAAACATTCGCTTTTTCCATACCTCGTCCCTCCAATGTGATATCCAATTTTTCTTGATCTAAATCGTTTGACACCCTCATCACCATACTCTTATCTATGTTCATCTTCAACTTTCTACCTTAACACACCCTCCCAAACTCATCCACTAACCTTTGCAACTTTTCTTTAGAATCTCGCAAAGGACAGTATCATCAGCAAAGAATAACTGTATCAGCTCCCATTTTGTATTCGATTCCCCATAATTTAATCCCACCCCTCTCCCCAACACCCTAGCATTTACTTCTTTTACAACCTCATCTATAAATATGTTAAACAACCATGGTGATATTACACATCCCTGTCTAGACTTACTTTTACTGGGAAGTAATCATCTCCCTCTCTCCTACACACCCTAACCTGAGCTTCAGTATCCTCAAAGACAAAAACTCTTTACAGCATTTAGTAACTTACTACCTATTCCATACACTTGCAACATGTGCCACATTGCTACCCTATTCATTCTATCATAAGCATTTTCTAAATCCATAAATGCAATGAAAACTTCCCTCCTTTAAATAACAAAAAGGCACAATACCATGAATGGAACAATATACAAATAACCTACACATAGGAGAGGGGAGTTTACGACAACATTTTGGTCCGGCTTGGTTATTTGTGTATTCCCTACCTTTATCTAAATACTGTTCACATATACATGTATGCTTCAATGTAAACACTTGATCTACACATCTGCTACCAATTCTAATGCCTCTTTGTTCATCTGCTATCCTGCTCTCTGTCTTACCTCTAATTCTTTCAATAATAACCCTACCATAGAGGATAGATGCAGTGAGTTCTGTTGCAGACTGCTAATTGAGGTACCCCTATGTTAATTCTAAAATTTGCAACTGGGCAGCTGTACAGTCAATCAGGAAGTTAAACCTTTACCTGATATACTCAGTTAACTTATTCCCCTGTAATTTTTACAATCTCTTTTGTCCCCTTTCCCTTTATATAAAGGACCAATACATGCTCTCTGCCAGTCAGAGTACTTGTCCACATTAAAGGCTTATCTGAATTCACAGACTGGGATAAGGCAATACTTAATTGATGACTGCCTGATCAATCAGGATGTTGATGCCAGCAGCCCTTGAGTGTATATAGTCTCACACCCTAGCAGCTGACTTAGCACTTGTTAGCAAATTTTAAAATATTACTCTCACTGTAATATGGTAGTGTGTATGAAGGGTATTTTACAATAAATAAAAAGTGTTGCACTGCATTATCTACCCCTGATACTTACAAAGCATGACCAATATGTGCAGAATCATATACAGTTGGGCCACAGGAATACCAAGTTAGCAGGCCAGGATGTATAGTCTTTAATGGCACCTGGAATAATAAAAATTTACAGGGTGCACCAACTAAATAATCACAAGAGGAGTTTTTTTTTTAATAACACATGAACTTTCATACAAAATCAATAATTACATACTGCATAATACTGTCTATACATACATACTCAATATACATGAATCAGATGACACATGCCTGAACACTACAGGAAAATGTAGTGAAGGTTTTCATTTTTTTTTATGGTACAACAAATCTTTTAAAAGCATATTTTTATATTCTGTACACTGAAAATAAGCATAGAATAAAACAGTTTTGAACTCAAAAGGACAACTTTTAAGGGGCTACTGTTTGTGCTTGACATTACAGTAAGCTAAGTGGTGAGCACCCAGCATACTTTAATGTCCGAAGTAATACCCTACCCTGGCAGATGAGACAAAAAGCTAAGCTGCTCTGGCAATTCATAATGGACCATCTCAGAATTTTCTAAGGCTACTGACTGTGTCCTAATGCCTCCTAGGCTTGTGCAGTGGATGAATTTGTGTCCATGGTCCCCCTGTGCCATATGGTCTTGAGGGCTGAATGTATCAAACATTTTTGAATACTGACATTTTAATATAGGAAAGAGTAAGTCACTGATACAAGAGACAATTGTAAAGGTCATTGGAGTACATAAGGCAGGCCATAAAATGAAGGCAATAATAGAAGCCATTAATGTGTGTGAGCATTCAGAGAACCTGGTTACATTGGTTCCTTGAGGACAGTGTTGACACGTCAACATCAAAAATACATCCAGGGAAATCCTACAGAAACATACCCACTAACGTTAATTGTAATAATGTCCCCTGAATTGTCATTTGTCTGAATCTTTCAAACATTGTGGTGTAATGATTTTTATGCAAGCCAGTGCTCCATGCCACACCACAAAATCTGTTGCTAAGTAGTTTTGTGATTGAGGTACCCCTTTTCAATGACTGGCCATGAAATTCCCCAGACTTGAACCCATTGAGAACCTCTGGGCTGGAATAAGTAGATCTACTAAGGAAAGGATATCAGCCCATTTCCATGGCTGGAGGACACCATCCCTGAGTTGTGGGGGAATTTATTCTATGAATCCGTGGTTGTGGGGGAATGTATGCCATGAAACCCTGTGTGGGAATTTATCCTATGAATCCCTGTGGTTGTGGGGGAATGTATGCCATGAAACCCTGTGTTAATCACTTCCTAGATGTTTGAAGGAAGTCCTAAAGTGTAACAGACAACCTATTTTGTGGTAGCGGTTTTAGAAGAGACTGGCATACTTTTAATGACAAGCACTGTATAATGAGGCTTCCTTGTATAAGTACAGTGGACCCCCGGTTTGCGATGGCATCGGTATCCGATAAATCTGGTATTCAATACATTTTAACGCAAAAATTTTGCCTCGGTTCCTGTTAAAAAACCCGCCATACGCGATTCGTCCGAGAAGTGTCCACGTGTGGCCCAGTGTTTACAAGCCAGCCAGTGTGCTCGCATCTAAGGATACATTCGGTACATTCCATATTATCACAGTGTTTTTGGTGCTTGTTTCTGCAAATTAAGTCACCATGGGCTCCAAGAAAGCTTCTAGTGCCAACCCTGTGGTAAAAAGGGTGAGAATTAGTATGGAAATTAAGAAAGATTTTGAAGGGTTTGGGGCTAACCCTGAGAAGCCTATGCCAGTTGTGGAATCCATTGTGCCTTCTTCAAAAATTAAGGAAATGTGTGCAAAGTGGGTTGAACTACAAACCTTTATGGATGAAAATCACCCTAACACAGCTATTGTAAGCTGTGCTGGTGACTATTACAATGACAATGTTGTGGCCCATTTTAGACAAATCGTAAAGGAACGGGAGGTACAGAGCTCTATGGACAGATCTGTTGTGCGACAGAGGTCCAGTGACTCTCAAGCTGGTCCTAGTGGCATTAAAAGAAGAAGGGAAGTAACCCCAGAAAAGGACTTGCTACCTCAAGTCCTAATGGAAGGGGATTCCCCTTCTAAACAATAAGTTCGACACTCTCCCCTCCTCCCATCCCATCAATCATCACCAGATCTTCATTAAAGGTAAGTGTCATGTATTTTATTGTTAGTAGAGTACTACAAACTGTGCATGTCTTCTTCAGTTTGTGTGCATTAAACTTAATATTTCATGTGGTAAATTTTTTTTTTTTTCATACTTTTGGGTGTTGTGGAAATTCATTTGGTCCCTAAAGTTCCACAGGACAGATCCGGCATGGCCGTAATGGAACGGCTGAGCTGGGTGGCCCTTATACCCCACCCAAAACAAAGCATTCTCTCAAGTTGGCGTGGATTGTTGGTAAGCTTATTTAATTTATAGATTTACCCTTCAGGGAAGGAGTAGGTAGCTTTACTGTTAGTATATTAATATTAGGTTTACTAAGGCAACTGCAGATAATAATAATGTAGACCTAAGACCTTAACATAGGTAGTAATAGGCCGATAATGTAGGCAAACACTAGGATAAGTTAGCTAGGGAGAACTGGCAGCCCTAGTTTGAACAAAGAGATGAGGGTCTGGAAGAGAGACCAGCTCGTTCTTCTTAAGACAGACACCAACTGGACAAGACGTGCCGTGATCAGCAGACGGCGCCCCCACGTGTCTTCACATTCGAGACCTGGGGAAATCTGGTAGAGGCACCTCGATGTACCGTAGATGACCTCCTCCGTCAGGCCCATACAGTAAGACAAAACCTCCACTTTATCTCGTAGATTTCTGGCCAGTGTCTGGGGAGAATTGTGAGTGAGTTTGATCTGTGGGCCTGTGTTGCAGCTGGGAGTGCATGCCCAGTAAGTACCAGTGTCTCTCGTCTATGTAGAAGCTAGTGTCCATGTCTGCATAGTTGTACTAGGGGATACACACCCCCTTGGATATAGGAATTTCTGAGGTGCAGGCAGGTCACTAATAACGACTGAATATGGCAGGAATTAAGGCTCCTGGTTGCACGTGGTTTCTGAGGGGAAGTCCAAAGGGGCTAAGGCTAAGCTTAGGGAAGTTGAAGATCAGGATATATGCTGCAACACCAAGTAAGTTAGTCCTTTATACGTGCATGCAGGCGAGTTTCTTGCAACATCAATCATTTGTGAAAATCTGTCCTATAAGCCACTTGTGAGGCTGAGGTACCCACCTCAGAGCTCGGTGTCAACAGTTTGCCAGGGTAGGCGACTCACTTGGAGGCAGTCCACACAAATTTTCACAGGTGTCTTGCACGGATTAATTTGATTTCCATTATTTCTTATGGGGAAAATTGATTTGCTTTTCGATAATTTTGGTTTACAATGAGCTCTCAGGAACGGATTAATATCGCAAACTGGGGGTCCACTGTATTATACAGACATATAGGGTGGGTCTCACCTTTGACTTAATGGCACTGTTATACAAAGTAACACCAGTGTCATGTCCTTCCGGTGGAATCCAGGAGATGGACGATAGCCAACGTCTACCTGCAACACCAACCAAAGAATTTATGTTTCAGCTTAGATTTAACCTTCAAAATGTTTAGTGAGGAATGTTTCAACATAATACTGACAATTTTTTATTTATTGCTTTGAAAAATAGGTTTTCCTATACAGTGGTACCCTGACTTAAGAGTGCCCCAACTTACGAGTTTTCCGAGTTACGAGCCGTCACTTGGTCGATTTTTTGCTTTGAGTTGCAAGCTAAAATCCAAGTTACAAGAGAGCTTCAGATACGCCACCACTAGTTGGTACTCGTAAAATAATGCTAGTGCGATGTTCTCACTGGAGGTAATCGTGTAATTAGCCTTATAGTTATTCTACAAAAAAATAAGGTTGCTAAGTTTTTGACATTTGCAAAATATCTTGCCCTTGACTCCCACACAAATCCCAAAATGTTTGGAATACATGCATTTCCAATATTCCACAAGCCAATTGTAGAACAATAATTTTTTTATGATTCCTGTCCTCTCTACTTCAATAATAAATAGTGGGCTTCATGAAATACGTCAATAACTTACTTCCGAGATATTCATAGGAACATGGGCTGGCCTCCCGTCTCAGTGAAAAAAAAATTTCCGAGAAAATCACTTTTGTTTCAGTGTTTTCCTTAGGAAACTAGTGATCTAGTGCAGTTAGCCTCTCAAAAACTCCATTTTCTCTTACCCAGGACCAAAGAACATGTTATAGGAAGGAGCAGTAATGATTTTATATGTTTGGACTGGTCCTGGACACTTGCCATATTATGGCCTATTTTATTCATTCTAGAGTATATACATATCATGTTTCTATGTTATAGCATTTATTATGTCGTATTAGATCAATTCTGATAGATAAATAAGCTGCAGAGTTGATATTAGCATTATACTGAAGTATTTTCTCCTGCCCCTCAAGACTCGGGTTTTTTGGGGGCTGGAACAGATTAATGGCATTTCAATTAATTTCAATGAGGAAAATTTATTTGATATACGAGCAAATTGAGTTATGAGCTCGGTCACGAAACGAACTAAACTCGTAAGTCAAGGTACCACTGTACTGTGATGTTACGAGAGCATGTAAAATGAACAACAGAAAATTAAAAAAAGCAAGCCATTTATTAATATATGAAGTTAAACTCTTACAGCCTTGTCTGCAGGTAGATGCAATCTCACACAGCATCCACTCATTTATTTTAGTTATACATCATTTAATGTTCGAGGTTGGTTCCCTGATTTCTGTGGAAATTATTTGGTCTCCCAAAGTTCCACAGGGTAAACAGTAAACAGCAGTACAAGCCCTTAACATCCACACACACACATCCACACACACACATCCACACACACACATCCACACACACACACACATCCACATACACACATCCACACATCCACACACACACACACACATCCACACACACACACACATCCACACACACCACACACACACCCACCCAACACACACACCCACACACACACACACACATCCACACACACACACACACCCAAACCACACACACACTCCACACCACACCCCCACCATCACACACACACACACACACCATACACACACACACACTCGTGGAGGAGTCACGCGGTTTGAGCTCGTGTTTTGGTGGTAATTTCTGACTGTGCCATAAGGAATAGAGTGTGGGATATAGGCATGTGCACGCAAAAGAGTGCTTTATAATCACTTAAGCCCCGAAAAAAGGAAATATAAGTGATCACAAAAAGAAAAACAAAGGGAAAAATATTGGCTGAGTGTTTAGTGGGGCCGTTGGAAGGGTGAACGGTTGTGTCAGGCCAAAAATAGGTTGCCATAATAATGCAGTGGGGTATTTTGAAAAATAAGTACGACTCAAGACCAGGGAATAAGAGATATGCATAGATGTTCAGAAAATACAGTGAGTGAGTGAAAAAATAGAAGAGCTAAGGCTATAGTGCATACAGGAATTTTAGGGGAAAAATTACCGAGAAGCATCAAACTTCTTCAACTTCTGGACGGGAAACAGACCCCAACGTTACTCCACTGCCAGCCGCAAGTAATATTCACCTAGTTTGAGTTGCATGGGGTCAATAGTACCTGTCTCTAGCTGGAATTGGGGGTCACTCTCCTTGACCTATCAGAATTAGAATAAGCAGCATTTACTGGCATTTAATAGAATTTAGAGGTAGCAGCATATAGGCGAAGCCTAGTGTATTTATTTTTGAACGTAATTTTAAAACGCATAAGACAGTACATGGGAACCAAGAGATCGGGTACATATACAATACATATGTAGTTCATACGTGGGAAAATAATGCTGTTTACTAAACATAGCACACACACTAGATGAGAACAGCTCTGCTGTTAGGCACTTGAATAGCTGTAGCACACACACACACACACACACACACACACACATACAGGATTTTACACCTTCCTGTGAAGTGACCCCTATAACCCTTCCTTTCCCCCCCCCCCAATCTCTTACCTCTCCTCCCTCTCTCTTTCTCTCTCTCCCCTTCTCTCCCCCTTTCCCTCTCTCCTCTTCCCCCTCTCTCATCCTCTCTCTCATCCTCTCTCTCATCCTCTCTCTCATCCTCTCTCTCATCCTCTCTCTCATCCTCTCACTTTTTCTCTCTTCCTCTCACTCTTTCTCTCTTCCTCTCACTCTTTCTCCCTTCCCCCCCACTCTTTCTCTCTTCCTCTCACCTTTTCTCTCTTCCTCTCACTCTTTCTCTCTTCCTCTCACTCTTTCTCTTTTCCCTCTCACCTTTCTCTCTTCCTCTCACTCTTTCTCTTTTCCTCTCACTCTTTCTCTCTTCCTCTCACTCTTTCTCTCTCTCTCTCTTCCCTTGTCACTCCCCCTCTCTCTTACCTTTTCCCTCTCACTTTCTCCCCCTTTTTCCCTCCTTCTAGGCTCCCCTTCTCTCTCTCCCTATCTCCCACTCTCTCCCTTTTTTCTTTTTCTCTTTCTCTCTCTTTCACTAAAAAAAAAAAATGGCTGGGACTCGCAGGAATCAGGGATCAGATGACAATGGTACTGGTAGGGAGGAATGGATGGAAGAGCAGTGGAAAAGGATAGAGCAAGAATGGGAGAGAAAATTAGGAGAGCTTTCTGAAAAAAATGGAGAAAGAGCTCTCTGTGAAATGGGAAAAGAGGTTGGAGAAGGAGACGAAGAATTGGGAGGCACAAGTCGAAACTGCAGTAGCCAGGGTAAAGGTCCTAGAATTTGAGGTAAACAGGCTGAAGCAAGTCTCAGGGGTAGTGACCAGAGAGAACACACCATAAAGAAGATGAGAGGCTGAACAGGAAGGGAAAGGGGATATGAATTATGCTAAGGTCATATCAGCCTGCAAAGAAGGGCCAGGGAGTGGAAGGGAAGAGCATATGGGGTGCAGATGGTGAGGGAGATAGGGCGAATACTGAGGCACAACCATGCTACCAAGAGCCACTGGAAAAAACAAGGAGAAAAATGACCACATACAGACAGGAAAACCCGAGTCACCCGAGGGAGGCAATGGGAGGAGGAAAGGGCAAAATCAGGATTATCCATGGGCTTCAGGAGAGAGAGGAAAGGACACACACTGAAAGACGGCAGGAAGAAAGAAAGGAGATTGAGAAATCATCACGGAAATAGGGGGAGAAGACATGGATGAGATTGTAAATTTTCAGAGAATAGGGGGTACTTGAAGGGGAGAAACCGACCGATCAAGCTGATTCTCAGGACAGAAACAGTGCGGAACAGGATCCTCCAAGAGAAACCACGTTGAAAAGCTCGGAAGAGTACAAGAAGGTGTTCCCCAGACAGAGACAGAACATAAACAGAGAGACAGCAGCTGAGGGAGAGGACAAAAAAGCAAAAGGAGCTAGGAAAGGAGACAAGGATGGAAACCAGCAGAGGTTTAGTCAGAGCAGAACAGAGCAGCAAGGGGCAAGCACACACACAACTACCTCAGAACCCCACAACCTATCACACCATCCCAACACACAATACAAACCATACCCACAGCTTCCACCCAACCCCCAACCATAGAATCCCACATATGCTACAGGTCTCCCACCCCCACAGGCCCCCCAAACCACAGTGTTGGAAAGGAAACTGAAGGTATGGTACACAAACGCTGATGGAATAACAAACAAGTGGGAGGAGTGGCACGAAAGAGTCAAAGAGGCATCACCAGACATCATAGTGATCACAGAAAACCAAGCTTACAGGGATGATAACAATGCCATCTTTCCAGCGGGATACCAGATCCTGAGAAAAAGACAGAAGGAACAGAGGGGGTGGAGGAGTGGCATTGCTGATCAAACACCGATGGAATTTTGATGAGCTGGAGAGACGAACAGCGGAGAAGAAAGTGATTTCATAGCGGGAACGCTTCACTCTGGTGGCCCAAGGTGATAATTGCAGTGATGATAACCCACCACAGAACAGCAGGAGGCCAAGGCAAGAGTATGATGAGAGCTATAGAGCGATGGTTGACACACTGGCTGCAGTGGCGAGAAGAGCTCATGCATGCAGGGCAAAGCTCCTGATCATGGGCAACTTTAACCACAAGGAGATCGAATGGGAGAACTTGGAGCCACATGGGGGCCAAGATACATGGAGGACTAAGATGATGGAAAGGGGGTACTGGAAAACTTCATGTACCAACCCCGTAAGGGACACTAGAAGAGAGAGAGGAGAGGATGAACCAGCAAGACTGGACTTAGTATTCACCTTGATTTAGTGCAGACATGAGGACATCACATATGAAAGACCCCTTGGGGCCAGCGATCATGTGGTTTTTAGCTTCGAATACACAGTAGAGCTACAAGTGGAGGGGGAAGCAGGAAGACCAGGACAAATGAAACCAAACTACAGGAAAGGGGACTACACAGGAATGAGGAACTTCCTGAATGAGGTTCAGTGGGACAGAGAACTGGCAGGGGAAGCCAGTTAATGAGATGATGTAATATGTAGCAACAATGTGCAAGGAGGCTGAGGAGAGGTTTGTACCCAAGGGTAACAGGAATAATGAAAAAG